TGTGAAATAGTTTTCAGATATGTTATCACAAACTTAATTTACTTCTATAGGTGGAAGATAGTCACTCACATACTTCTGGTGAACCTTTTTTTTTTTTATTGTCAAGAGCAAATTCTTAAGGAGTTATATTTCCTTTTTGTGAGTTGATATAGAAATGATGAGGGAGATACAACAATAAAAATACCTAGGAAATTTTAAAACAGGAAAAACCCAAATTTCTCAGCAATAGCTGTATGTGGTCTGGTCACGGTACTGAAATGAATGAGGATAAAAGGCCATACAAGGAGAATTCACTTAAGAGGAAAGCAGTAAGCCAGACATCCAGTAGTTTGCAAACTAGATAACAAAAATCAATTTATTCTATGGATATTTTTAATGACATTTTCACATCTGATTTCAACAAAAATGCTTACTGAGAGCCAGTTCCCCAACAAAACAAAACAAGAACAAATATTAACTACAAAGTGCTTTAGATGTAGTGGAGAAATAATAAAGCAGGTAGGACCAGAGAATCATGTGCCTTTTCACTTAACATTTGATGAATCTGGAAAGAAGTCTTTGACTAGAAACCAGACCTTTTTCCTGGTAGGAGCTTGCAGTTAGGAAACAAAGAAAGGTGACACACAGTTACTCTCAAAAAAAAAAAAATACAGATTTTTCTTTTTAAAGCCAAAGTTCTTAGATAACTCAGTGAAAGAGTCCATGAACAGGAAAGCACAGAAAGATGCTATCATAATCATGATTCATCAAATGAATGCAAATCAAAGCCAAATGAAATATCTGAAAGACAGAATAATAAGAAGATTGTGGGAAAACACATTCACTTGGTTGTTGGAAATATACAGTGTTAGAACCATTTGGGAAAAGTGTCTAAAAATTCTTATATAATTATGTCTACACCTTTCCCAGGAGCCTACTACTCCAATCATGAGTATTTACACAAGAACAATGAAAACATATGTCTATAAAATGCTTGTATAAGAATGTTCACAGCAGCTTTCCTCATAACAGACTAGACTGGAAACATTCCATATGTCTGTCAAGAGGTGGATGAAGGAATATATATATATATATATATATATATATATATATATATATATATATATGTCTGTGTGTGTGTGTGTGTATTAAACTTAAGAAATTGAAATCTGCATAGAAACACATGTTGTGTAATGCTGTGCTTTAGAAATTCATGTTATATAAAAGAGTACTTATGCATGTATGCCTCTCTCTTTACTTTGTATAGCAAATATGTAACTTCTGAATAAAGACAACTCAGTCCAATCATTTTTGTGCATGTGTAACAGGAGATTGTTGTAATGGAATATTAAAAAATCTGACTGTTAACATTATATGGCAACTTGACTAGGCTAGAAGACATCCTAGTATCAAAGAATCATTATTTCAGGCTCTTTAGTGTACCTTTTAGAGAACTTCTATATGAGACAGTACATTCCAAATGCATAAGCTGTTGTAATTACACACACCCATAATATCCAATTTATTGAGAACCTGAGAAGTACAGCAAGTTAAAGCAGGGTTAATCATATCTTGAAATGGGAACATCTAAATTCTTCTGGTTTCCCAAATCATAACTCAGTTCTTTGGCTTTTGACCAGATTGGCAGTTTTATTATTGGCTCACTGATTATCAGGCTTTCAAGTTCAGATATAATCATACCACTGGATTCCTTCATATGATTTTCAGATTGCATTGTGTGTGAATGCTTAGCCTCTGTAATTCTGTAGCTCATATCCATAAGTCTTTCTCTTTGCCCCTCCCTCCCTCCCTCCCTCCCTCCCTCCCTCCCTCCCTCCTTCCCTCCCTCTGTCCCTCCCTTCTTCTCTCCCTCCTTCCTCCTTCTTTCTCTGTCTCTCTCTCCCTAACTCTCTCCCTTCCTCCCTCCCTC